TAAATAAAACAAGAACGAAATACTTTCAAATAAATTCTTTTATTATCAAATATTTGTTACAAACCATGATATGCAAAATATAAGATGCTCTAAAATCCGTAATTGGAAGCAAGCTATTATCGTTCTTCTATCAATCACAAAGAATAGGGCGAATTAGCCTTAATCGCATCCCTAAATGCATTTCTACAATAGCAGGCAAGAAGGCTAAGAAGCACTCTTAGCAAGCAATAGGCTCTCATCTAGTACTTCCTCTGGAGAACATAAATGGAGGTGTTGAGAATACCTTCATTGGCCAAAGAACATTTCATACATCTCCTATACCAAAGGTAATATCAAGACAGACAGCGAAATTGATAACAAATCAAATGATCTATTCCTGTTGAAGGAAGAAATAATTGATTAATTATCTGAAATGCCAAACGATGGCAAGTAAACTGATTTTGTGGAGAATGAAGATGAAGATGACAAATGCGTAACACATACGCATTTTTAGAGGTGTAAAGATGAAAAGACAGAATATGAATTGCTACTTACATGCATAGTAACCGAAATTAAATGGCCTAAAATCTTGGAAAAGAAGTTCAGAATATCAAAAATTTTGCTCCGTGTAAAGATTTCATGAGGGAAAATGTACACAAGTTTAGCACAAGGTAATTAAATGCATGGGGGGTTGACGATTGAAGAAGACGTCAATTATTACGCAAGTAAATAAAATAGTCATTCCATTAATGACATTGGCTGCCAACACAAAATTACATGGAAAATAAAGGTATCAATGTCTTAATTACAGTTTACCCCAAGCTGAACACATTTGTTCCCTAAGTTTTCCACATTCATCGCTCTGCTTAGAAGGAACAGCAGACAACTCAGTTGCAACATCCTTGTCAACTTTCAGCTTTGTATAACGCTTAACCAAAGATTTGGTTCGCTCAATTCCTTGGGAAGCATTACGCTTCTTGACAGCTAATCTAGCCCTATAGTCATCCATCTTGGATTGGAGTTCCTTCATCTCTGCAACTAAGATTATCATCAAGGAATCCTCAACCATAACCCTAGAGGAGATTTCGTTTAATTAGACCTTGACTTTATCAATCTTTTGAAGCAAAGATTCTTTTTCAGATACAACATGGACATACTGAATCTTCTTGGCTCTCAACTCGACATTCTTGGCTAACAAAGAGTTGATTTCGAAATGGATAGAATGGTTACCGCCAAATGAAAATAATGAATGAAATTCTCTACCCTTTTGGGGATTTCAAGTATTTTTGAAAAATACAAAAAACGAATATGAAAAAAAATTAATAATTGATATTAATTCTGTCATATTGGAGGGTAATTGTTGACAAAAAAAAAATGAAACACAATTAAATGGTCCAAGAGTTGGAGCCCAGTTAGGGAGTTCAAGATATATGCACAAATGAGATCATTGTAGAATATAGTAGAGGCCCATAAACAAGGTACTATCATTGCCCAAATCTGCAGGACACCCAGGATCTGAGAGAATGAAGTGCTTTACTGTCGCTCAGAAAAATGATTCCATTATCACCCAAACCTTTGAATCGCTCAAGATTTGAGCGAATATGGTGTCTTGTGGTTACTTAAAACGACGGTTATTGAAGCGGTTATTGAGCAACCTTATCACACCCCACGATCCAAGAATTTCGATTACAAGCGGTTAAATGACAAGAGCAGCAGCAACAGTTGCAAACGGAAGCTCCTTTACAAGTCAGCTATCATGAAAAAAGTGTGTAGTTATAGAACGCCAAGCAGTTCTACAAAGAAAACTGTCAAATGAGTATAAAAAGGAAACGAAGACATAGAAGGAGGGACCCCGANAGTATAAAAAGGAAACGAAGACATAGAAGGAGGGACCCCGAATCAATCACTCTTAACAGAGAATATGTAGTTTCAATTCATTTATTTTCTAAGTGCAAACTTTCAATTTACTTCGTGTGCTTGTGCCCTTTGGAGGCGTTTTGCTTCTTCCCAATTATAATTTTCATAAATAAAGCACCAATTTTTGAGACTTTGTCTCAAAAGGTTTGTTCA